CCTTCCCTGCCCCCTTCCCTTATTTATTCTTTGATTTGGACTTCTAATACTCCAGTCATCTGAAGAAGTGGGCTGTGCCCATGAAAGCTCATGATACCACATACATGTTTTGTTAGTCTTTAAGGTGCTGCTAGACTATTTGTTGTTTTTTAAGTTTTTCTTGATAGTTTAAATGTATTTTCTCTGGAGACGTCATGTGGACAAGATGTTTTGTGGAAACTCTTTAGCATTTCCCTAAAGGATTATTAATGAGCATTTAGTGCTCGTGAAAGATTCAAGATTGACAGCACTGAGATCTCCAATCCTCCCTTTATTAATATAGCATGGTGAGATGCATTGTCACTTACTCAACTAGTGGGTCTCAATCCATGGTCAAACGGCAATACAGACTCAGTCAATGTCTTATTCTCTAGTGAGGCTGTCTGCATGGGTGCTACATGGGTGCTGCCTGCATGGGTGTAATATTGTTCACTACAAAATAGAATCAGACCAGTCATTTAACAGATCTGTGGATTTATGACTTTACGGAGCACAATGAGAGCAGCCGCAACTGAGATCAGCGTGCTATTCCGCTGTAGCTGGAACCAGGACAGGGACAGCCTCACCGTGCTCTGGCTCCTGCCGGAGCACATGGTGGCAGCCACCTGCCACATGACCCCACCAGTCAGGCCACGTTACGCTCTGCCAAGTCGGAACCACTCCTCTTCCAGCAGGTCCAGGAGGTAGGCCTTGAATTTTTGGGTGGGCCTCAAATTTTTTTGTGTGCAGGCACGCACCTTAGGGGGAACTATGGTTGTGAGAACTGTGAAGGACAAGATTAAACTTCAAAATGACCTTGCCAAATGGAAGAATGTGTCTGAAATCAACCATGGCATTCCATATAGACCAGTGCAAAGTCCTCCACCAAGGAAGGACACATCAAACGCCCAACTGCAAAGTGGAGACTCACTGGCTAGGTGGTCGTACTGCGGGAAGGGGTAAAAATGTGTCACAAATGAAATAGGAGCCATCGGTGTGACAGTTACAAACAAGGCTAAGATCGTTCTGGGGCATACGAACAGCAATATCGTACGTAAGACACTGAGGACAATTGTTTCACTCTACCCAGCAATGGCGAGGCCTCAGCTGGAGTACTGAGTTCTGGGTGCCACTTTACAAAAGATGTGGATAAAATTGGTGAGAGTCCAGAAGATAAAAAGATTTAGGAAACCTGAACTATGAGGCAAGGGTACAATCCTGGGCCCGGTCGGTTAGTCTAAAGCAGTGTTTCCCAATTTTATTTGTCTCACAGAACCCTTTTAAATGAGAAAGAATTTTGCGGAACCCCTAATAACAGTCTAATATATGGAGTTGAAAAAGTAGACCACAAATAAGAAAGGATAATAATAAACAAATGCTAAATAAGATCATGAGATCAACATTTAGTTTAATTGCACAGATTTAAAAACAAAAATCACTTCATAGTAATTATTATTTTTTTAATCATAAACTGTTATTGTCATGAAATTTTCTTGCGGAACCCCTATTTTCACTTCACTGAACCCCGGGATTCCGTGGAACACCATTTGGGAAACACTGAGCTAGAGAAAAGAAGGCTGAGGAGGGACCTGACAACTGTCGCCAGAAAAGTGAGGGCTGTTATAACAAGGACTGTGAGAGCCATCCATTGCTCTTGTCTATTGGAAGCAGGTCAAGCATCAACGGGCGTAATCTGCAGCAGGGGAGATTTAGATCTTCAGAAAAACATCCTAACACTAGGCAGTGACGCTCTGGACAAGGCTTCCCAGGCAGGTTGTGGAACCCTTGTCATGAGTGGGTTGTATGCATGGGCTGGGCAAACATCGGTGTACGAGGTCCTGTCTCAGCACGGCAGGCTGGCGGACCTCCGAAGGGCCCTTCCAGCCCTGCACTGCTATGGTTCTGGGAAAGTTCAGGACATTGCTTTCCTGTCTCATTCCAAAGGCAGCCACAAAGTGCCCTTGAGTGCGGTGCCGGGGCATCAGGGTCAGCATTGATTGTGAGGGGAGAACAACCCCTGCTCCCCCCCTCCCAGCTGCCGGCAGCACCGGAAGCTCGCCAGTGCCACACCGAGGGACTGCAGTTGAGAGGGGAGTGCCTCTACCTCGCTCCCTGCACCTCTCGATGACACAGCTGTTGGGGGACTGGGTCTTTCCTCCATTCCGAGGAGGCAGTGCCTGGAACGTGCAGACCCCACTCTTACAGCAGCGTTCCCTGTAAGCTGGGTGTTAGGGCGGCCGCTCAGGAGATTCCAACGCTGCCCAGCTGATTAGCAGAGCGCCACCAGGTAGGTATCGTTTCCCCCATTGGTGCATGTTGGCACATGCCTCGGTGCTAGGGACGTAAAATCCCATTTAGTCAGTTAAACGCTTACCCGGGATCCCATAGGCAGTGGGCCTGATTAGTCTGGAGTGACCCCAGCAGCGTGGTGGTTCTGGCCAGGTTGGAGCAGCCTCTCCTCCCCCCAATCAGGCTAGTTGCTCCAGCCTAGTTGGGCCACCAGTTCACCATTACCAATAAGCATCACCCTTAATTAACAGCTTAACCAGTTACTGGTAAGCATCACCCTTAGTTAACCAGCTAACGGGTGGCATCCCTACTCAGTGCACATACGAAAATGTATTCCACACCTGGATGGAAAAAATCCGCACATGGATGCAAAAGATTCGCACGAACATTGATCCTCGCCAGCGTTTTTGCCGTGTAGGGTTGTAAGCGGAGGCTGCAGGGGGACACTGGCTTGTAGCAGTCAGTTCCGGTGTTGGTGAGCCAGGGATACGGGGAGCCAGAGGGACACACAGGCCTGGACTCTGACCAGGTTGGCAGGGGATGCCTAGGACCAGGTCAGCAAGGAAAAGGTGACACCCCCGCGGATGGTCTCAAGGGAAGCTGCCTACTGCCACCTAGTGGCAAACTAGTGGCACTGTTGGCAGAGTTCCCCCTTTGCTGTTGGGATTTCATCACATTCCCTCTGACACTGTCCCATGGCAAAGGGCACGATGATTCCCTCCCCCCACCACCCTTCCTGGGATCTGTGCTGCTTTTACTCCAAATAGCATCAGCCACGCCTTTGTGCCTAGCTCTGTGCAAGCATCACAGAATGCTCGGCTAGATCTGGGAGGGGGATCCATTCCACAAATGCAGCTCAGCCCCCCCCATGCTGCATTCAGGGGTTTGGCCCAGACACCCCCCACTGCACACTCTGGGGATCCCCTGTCCTGCGAGCAGATGTTCAGTTCTGGGGAAAGGTTTGTGGTCAGAGCCGGAGCGTGGTGCCAGCCTGCCCCAAGCCCGTAGAGCTGAGATGCTCTGCAAAGTGCAGTTTGCTCCCTGTTCAGCTGCTTACGGGAGTGGCCATGTGGCTCTTTGCACTAGACAGACGCCGCATTCTTCAGGAGATGGCGAGACAGACCTGGCAGCCGGAGCTTAGTGACTGTTACTCCTGAAGAGCTGCGAAACACCTGGCTTCCCAAAACAGAACAAGGTGCTGATTGCCCGAGACTCCTCTCAGCCAATGCTCTCCCCAGTGCTCATCCCACCTCTGTGCAGCAGAGTGGAGGCCTCACTTTGGGGGACGGATGTGAGAAGGGTCGGGTGCTGGAGCCCCTGTATGGTGCCTCCCACGAGCCTCGCTGCTCAGCCCAAAGCTTGGGCGGTTAAATCTGCCTGGGTCTGGTGAGGAGCCGTGTTGCTTGGATGTGAGCCTTGCTGTTGGGATCAGGGTCTATGGGATCCTGTCCTTGAAGGGAGCGCCCAGCGTCAGCCAGCCCAGAACCACACAGCAACCCCTGCTCTGGCATGTCACTTGGTCCGTTCAAAGCTCAATTTCTTCTGACAGGCCACAGCCCCGACTCCCACTGAGAACCAGCCAGGGATGTCACCAAAGACAGCTCCTGTTCAGAAAGCCCTCCCCTGCGCCACTCGGCTGTCCCTGAATCTTCAGGGAGTCTCCGCTCTGACAGGCCAGCTGTGTGGGCAGCCAGATCGGGGCGCAATGATTTCTATCACCCAGGGAGGGGAGCAGTTTGTGTGCGAGTCACCACGAAGGCCTGTGTAACCCACATACCTAGTGTGGTTCGCTGTCCCGTGCAGTGGCACCTAGACCACAGCAACAGATAAGACCAAGAGACCTCATGGGCTGAGAGCCAGCTGGCTTTATAGCTCAAGCTGTAGACTTTGTAAAGGCTCCTATACTAAGCTTCAGAGGTCCCAGATTCAAATCATCCAGTTGCAGGATGTGGATGTGGGCCTTGCAGTGCTCCAGCTTAGAGCGTCCCTCCACCAAGCAATAAAACCCCCATGGCATGGTCCCCACTCCCCTACACGCACACGTATCCTGTTGCAGTCTGAAGGGGGTTGCCAGCTCTTTGAGCAGGGCCTGGGTTGCATTGGTATAAGGAGGCGCTTGGCACATTCTAAAGTGCTGTGTTGGTTATTACTGTGCTTGCTGCTTCTCTGGGCGTGGTTCTGGTGACTTTCATATTCATGTAGTTAAATTACACAGGAAAAGGTCACCCCCGTGCAGAGCATCAGTGCTCTGCCCTTGAGCATCTCAGTAGATTCGGTCCCTGCAGCAGGCTGGTAGCTGCCTCTTTTGGCCATTCTACGGGTTAATTCCCAGCTGGCATCCCAGGGAGCAGCAGGGCATAGGGCAGATTTGTGACCTGCTGCGAAATTCCCGTTTGGGCTGAAAACAGGACAAGGAAGCTGGTTCAGGGTTGAGGCCAGGCCCTCCCCGTGGTCTGGGTGCCCGTGGAGGCGGGTCTGAGTCTTGGTGCCCACTTGCTGTTGGCGCGATGAAGGGACAGAATACCGCCAGTGCCCTGCTTCTGCTCCTGGTTTAGACGCCCCGATGCCAGGGCGCCTGCCGCCTGTCACGTCCGCAGCAGGCAAGAGGCTGGGCCAAGACTCCCACTGCAGCTCCGCTAACGTTTGCATTGGACAAAGCCAGGTGTGTGGGAAGCCGGGGGTGTTTGACCCCGGGGCTCTTCACTCGCTTGTGGGCCCACTGCAGTGGCTACTCTGGCCCAGGCTGGAGCTCCTGCTGGCATGCTCCCGGCCCTCCTGCTGCCCCTCCAGATCCCAGACCACCTGCCCGGATCCTCTATGACACTCCAGGTTGGCACTGCGGGGCCTCAGGCCAGGGAGGGAGGGGGGTCCGGGGAGAGGAAAGGTGTTTGCTTTTGCCTGGTTGGTCTCACATCCCACTTCCTGGGGCAGGAGCCACCCTTCTGCCGGGAACTAAGTGGCGGGGAGAGGGCGGGGTTGAGCATGTGTAGTGGTGTCAGGCTGGGTGTGCGTGAGCATGTGTGTTTGGGGTGCCTGAGCGACCAAACACAGCCCTGGGCTTCCCGGAGCCTACGAGACGCAGGCAGCTGGGGGACGGCAGACGTGAGTCAGAGGCTGGTGGCACTGGGTCCGGCCCCGAGGTGATTGCCCTGCAAACCGCTTCCTCCTGCAGCCCCGGCGCCCGGGGGAGGAGCCGGCATGTGGCCATGGTGATACCCCAAGAAGATACATGCTAAGAACCCAGAGTCCCACCCGGGAGCTGCGGGGAGAGGGCTGGGTATGCAGGCAAAGACTTACAGGCCTGTTCTGGCACCTGCCCAGGCCACAGAGCATAGGGGACAGGCCCCCAGAGCGACGGGCGCAGACCCTGCTTGGCCGCAGGAAGTGGCCCTGGGGGTCTCTGGCAGCTTCCCCCATGTGCAGGGAACTCCTGCCCAGAGGAAGACTCGGTGCCCGCTCTGGGGGGAAGGGACAGCGTCCAGCTGAGGGTACCAGGGCTAGCGGCACAGCTGCAGGGCTTGTTTTCCAGCCGGCTCTATGCACTCCTCCCCAGATGGGCCATTACCCAGCAGACAGCTCCCTGGGACCAGGGGGAAGGGTTGGGGGAGGGGGATCAGGGCAGCACCTGACTAGACACCCCCGTGCCAAAGCAGCCCCTATGGAGCTGTGAACAAAGAGCCTGAGCCCGTCCCAAGAGGCACCGGCAGCCCCGAGGATGTTGGGTGCACACCTGGGGCTCTCCTGGAGGGCGCTGGAGTGCGTCCAGCTTCTGGCCATGCAGGCCAGTGTGCTGGGGGGGG